TCGACCAGAGGGACCTGGTGGTCGACCGGGTCGACCGGGTAACCCGCTCGACGAGTTCTGCGGAGGCATGCGAACGTCGTCGAGGTCACGATGGCGCAGGCGACTTCGAGCTGATATTCCGAAGTCGATGTGGCTCTTCAGGCGCAGACATCAGCCGACGGATGCCCAACGAGGCAAGTCGGGCCAATCGTCTGTCAGAGTATTATAGCTGATGCATGTTTGTAGGCTATAGTGGGGTAGCACATATGGGGTACAGCTTTCTAGGGTTGTATTTGTACCCAACTCTGACTTAGTCATTTCATTCCTGTTCACTTATTTCACATGGTATAGAGCGGGTCCTTCCTTAGGACCGTTTTTTTTTAGGGCCCACCGAAGCGCGCCCCGAGGCGCGCCCCTTTTTTTTTAGCGACCCCTCGGGTCGCCATTTCCCTCGCGGCCCCGCTGTCCCTCAGACGCGGCCCCGCCACCCCTCCTGATCGCGGCCCCGCCGCCTGCTTGACGCGGCCCCGCCGCCGGCTCTGACGCGGCCCTGCCGCCCGCTTCGTCGCGGCCCCGCCGCCTGCTTGACGCGGCCCCGCCGCCTCCACTGACGCGGCCCCGCCGCCGGCTCTGACGCGGCCCTGCCGCACGCTTCGTCGCGGCCCCGCCGCCTGCTTGACGCGGCCCCGCCGCCTCCACTGACGCGGCCCCACCGCCGGCTCCGCCGCTGCACCCTACGGCCCGCCGCCTCACCTGACGGCCCCGCCGCTGCACCTGCCGGCCCGCCGCTCACCTGCCGGCCCGCCGCTGCACCCAGCGGCCCGCCGCTTCACCTGACGGCCCCGCCGCTGCACCTGCCGGCCCGCCGCTGCACCCTACGGCCCGCCGCTGCACCCTACGGCCCGCCGCCTCACCTGGTCGGCCCGCCGCCTCACCTGCCGGCCCGCCGCTGCACCTGCCGGCCCGCCGCTGCACCCTACAGCCCGCTGCTGCACCCTACGGCCCGCCGCCTCAACTGGTCGGCCCGCCGCTGCACCCTACGGCCCCGCCGCTGCACCTGCCGGCCCGCCGCTGCACCGGTCGACCCGCCGCTGCACCTGACGGCCCCGCCCCTGCATCTCCCGGCCGAGCCGCCCCAGCAGCAGAGCCGCCCCAGCAGCCGAACCGCCCGGGAGCCGAGCCGCCCAACGCCGAGCCGCCCGGGACCCGAGCCGCCCTGCCGCCGAGCCGCCCGGGAGCCGAGCCGCCCTGCACCCGAGCCGCCCTGCCGCCGAGCCGCCTGGGAGCCGAGCCGCTGTGCACCCGAGCCGCCCGGTCGCTGAGCCGCCTTTCTGCGGAGCTGCACGACCTGCCCTGCCTGGTGAGCACAGTCCCACTGACACTGCGAGCTCTTTCCCTACTGCTTGCACTGCGTCGCTGTCGTCGCCATGGCTACCCCTAGTGTCCTAGCTTTTGACGCTGAGGGTCGCGCCATTGATTTTGAGGTCTGGTTAGACGACCTGCAGCTGTTCTTACAGTGCGACAGGGCTGACGGCCTTTCTCTCTTTGACCTCACCTCTGGCGCCTCTCCTGCTCCTGCTACTGATGCTGATCCCACTGTCCGCTCTCAGTGGGCCACCCGCGATGCTGCTGCACGTCTTGCTGTGCGTCGCCACCTCCCTACCTCTGAGCGTGCGCACTTTAGTCAGTACAAGAGTGCTCAGACCTTGTACGACGCTGTAGTTGCGCGCTACTCCTCCCCTGCCACTGCTGCACTGAGCCGTCTCATGCTTCCCTACCTCTTTCCTGACCTCTCTGCCTTTCCCACTGTTGCTGACCTCATTACGCACCTCCGCACTAGTGACACTCGCTACCGCGCCGCCCTTCCTGCTGAGTTCTGCGCTAAGAACCCACCCCCCATGTACATCGCTCTCTACTACGTAGTCGCGCGCCTCCCTGACTCCCTTCGCGTCGTCAGGGACCACTTTCTCGCAGTCTATCCCACCACCCTCACCGTCGACCTCCTCGAGAAGGCCCTCCTCGCAGCGGAGAAGAGCATAGTCGCTGTAGGTGCTTCTCGTGGTGACCCTCGCACCCCCATCTTTGAGGGGTGCTCTCCTTCCCCCTTGCTGCCCTCTGTTGCCTCTGCTGCTGCTGCCGACCTGCTTGGTCTTGAGTCGGTCGGCGCGGCGTCTACCCCTAGTGGGAGACGTCGCTCCAGCAAGGGCAAGGGGGGCAAGGGCGCGGGTGGAGCTGGAGGGGGCGGTGGCGGTGGCGGCGGTGGCGGCGGAGGGAGTGGGGGTGGCGGCGGGACTAGTGGCGGGGGTGGTGGTGGTGGTGGCAGCAGCGGCGGGGACGGTGGTGGTGGTGCCAGCGGTGGTGGTGGAGGCAGCGGCGGGGGTGGAGGCGGCGGAGGTGGAGGCGGTGGAGGCGGCGGCGGAGGAGGCGGTGGTGGTGGAGGAGGTGGAGCTGGTCGGGGTGGTACCCAGCAGCGTAGCGGCGGTGGTGGTGGCCAGCGCTCGCAGCGGCAGCAGCAGCAGCAGCGCTCGCGGGACATCCCTCCGCCTCAGCAGCTTCGTGAGTGGTACGCTGGGCGTCAGAGGGGTGGGGGTACTGGTCCCTGCACCTACGTTCTTCGTTCCGGCGACCGCGCGGGTGAGCAGTGTGGGGGTGCCCACGCCACCCAGCGCTGCTTTGGCCGCCTGACGGACGCTTGGCGTCAGCAGTTCCCTGGGGCTAGTGAGATCCCTCGCTGGGATGAGCTTCTAAGGGCTGGTGTAGCGATCTTTGATCTTGATTTTGATGCTATCCTTGCTGCTATGTATGCTGTGGATTATAGTGAGGAGAATGAGGGTTACCGGTGTTTCCAGCCCGACCCGGGCATTGGTACTGCTGCGCTAGGTGCTTGTGAGGCTGCTGCTCTAGGTGCCAGTGCGTCTGTACTCTCAGGTACTGGTGAGACTGCGCTCTCAGGTACTGCGTCGTCCTCGTCCTCCCTCACTTTCACACTTGACTCCGGGGCTTCTCGCTCCTTCTTTCGAGACCGCACTACCCTTACGCCGCTCGGCCGGCCGGTTGCGGTCTCCCTTGCTGACCCCTCTGGGGGTCCTGTCCTTTCTCACTTCTCCACTGTCCTCCCGTGTCCGGCTGCCCCTTCGGGCACCCTGTCTGGTCTGTACCTTCCCTCGTTCTCTACGAACTTGGTGAGTGGAGCGGACCTGCAGGATGTGGGGGTTCACCAGTTCACTCCTGCGAGTCAGCGGGTGACCCACTGCACGGAGGCACGCACAGGCCGACACCTGGCCACGTTCTCGCGTCGGCCGGGGTCGAGTCTCTACACCCTGACCGTTGGGTCTCCTCCTGTCCCTGCGTCTGGTCAGGTGGCTGCGTCGGGTCAGGTGCTTGCTGCTGCGTCCCGGTCAGGTCCTGAGTCTGCCCCCTGTTCTTGTCGCCTCCTGTCTCACGAGACTCTCCTGTGGCACCACCGTCTTGGCCACCCCTCCTTGCCCCGTCTTCGGAGCATGGCTTCCCGTGTCCTTGTCTCTGGTCTTCCCCAGTCTCTCCCTCCTCTTCCCTCCGGGCCAGGACCTTCCTGTGTCCCCTGTGTCGAGGGTCGCCTCCGGGCTACTCCTCACTCGTGGCAAGTCGGGCCAATCGTCTGCACGCACCTGCAAGCGTGCGTACTGCTGTGTTCTACGGGGCAACGCTGGACAGCCGGTCTGCTACAGCGTTGGCACGCCGTCGACCTGCTCTGCTGATAGGTCGCCCTTCTGCAGTGCTGGCGCGGCTCCTCTACGCGACGCTGGCAGGCGGTCGACCGAGCTGTGCTGGCGGTCGACCAGGCTAGCTGCAGGGTTGCTAGGTGCCTAATGTAGTCATTTTTGCGATCGCTTGTTCAATCATTCTGTAATTCCAACTTTGCTAGTGAAAACTCTTGCCGATTTCTCCTGTGAATGGGCAAGCACTAAGGAACCAAACAAAGCTACGATCACTCCTAATAGTTCGTGCCAACCCCCGTAGTCTAGCTCATTACCGTTGTAAAGTGACTCTCCGCATCCTGAACTTATTAGGCTTAGTAATTAGGTTTTTGTTAGGATGAGAGTAGCGAGGGGAAGATCGAGGGTGTTGACCAAAAAACAAACGAGAATGGTGTTCACTATGAAAAGAGTTGCAAGTTATAGCAAGCCAAAGGGTGCACCACCTAACAGGACAGCAATAGAACTACTTGACAGCTAGAACTACATACAGTTATACAGAAATATATTATGACACCTTTTTACGGTACAGGGAATTCAAACCGTGCAGCGCGGGAACCCGTTTCAAACATGTTCCCGCTCTTTTCACTTCAAAAGGTTCTACCTGCATTGGTCTTGATCTAACGGTTGCTTCGACCCTTCTGACTCCTCGACTTCGTACTCGGTTGAGTCGGATCCTGCAATGCCTTCTCATGAAGTTTCATATCGTAACAAGTTGCTTCAAAGAAGACAAGTCCATCCGCCATCACAGAATTGGAGATCCTATCAAAGTTTTGGTGTATTTTTTTGTATTTTTTTTTTTTGTGAATGAGTATGCACTATATGATATACATTCGCAGTCGTAACTGGTTTTCCAGTTCTGGTGAACTCCGAAAATTCGTCCGTGAATATTCCATCTCAAAATGGCAGCCACAAGTGCCGCGACTGCGTGATGCTCCGCCTTGGCGCCGCCGAAACCAACCTGCGTGTGGTTCCACGATGCATTCGCAAAGGTCTCCTTTCCACGTCAGCTGCGTCACGTCTCGACATCCACGCGACTCTTTATCCGCTAATGATGCTCTCGGCCCGGTCTCCGTAGTTCAGGACGAAGCTTGAGGGGCTCGCAATAACTCGTTATAAGCACCAACCAGCGAAGAATTCTCACCCATTTCTCCTCACTTGTCACTTTTGCCCGTCCACGTCCGCCTCAATCCCTCCTCAGCCTTCGCTCAAGCAGACACATTGCCTCACAGCGCATACCCAGTACCAGAACTGCTAAACTTACCAGCCCACGCCGTCCACGTCAGCATGACGCTCGCAGTCAGACAGAGCACCGCAGCGGCTTCGCTCTCTGCGAGCCTATGCCACTCGCAAAACGACTGCATCGCGCGCGCTTCCGTGAATCCCGCCGCATCTTGCACGGCATGGCAGAGGCACAACGGGCTGCGGATGGTATCGACGGCTGCGGGCGAACGTGGGGTTGCCTATAAGCGATCGAATCAACGGACGCGATCGCATAAGGTTGGGGACATGCCGTATGACAAATGTTGTTCTCAAATCTGTCCATCTGATAGAGCACATTGGTCGACGGTTATACAGCGCAGTGTTGCGTCGATTCAACGTGCTCTTCTGGCAATTGAGCGAGCGAGCGCGACAGCAGCGTCCGAGAAGCATGAGCAAGTGGCGCAACGTAGTTTTGCTGTGAGGGCATGAGCGAGCGGGCTCTCATGCCGGTCTTAACGCACGCGACGAAAGAATGTACTCAGCAAGCACTCGTTCCACAAGATCCGACAGGCGCCTGTCCGCAACGTTGCTGCGTGCAAGCACCCGCGCCACCCGCGCTACTCCGCCTGCCGTTCCGCCTCGCTGCGCGCTGGGCCCTGGCCGTCGCCTCTTATCCACCTCGCCTTCGCACGCCTCTCGCCTCCCTCCGCTGATTCACCTTCTACTTCTCTCCAACGCTTCCACCCCTATCTCCACTCCGTCTCCCCTTGCCCCTCCCCCTACCCGACCTCCCCCCCCCCTTCACACCCCCACTGCTCCCTGCAGCGCGCGCAGGCGCGAGCGGCGGTGTCGACGGAGTCGGAGCAGGCGGCCTCTGCGGGGACGCCAGTGCGGCCGCTGCGAGTGATGATCTCGGGCGCGCCCGCGTCGGGCAAGGGCACGCAGTGCGAACTCATTGTGGCGAAGGTGGGCTCCGCGCGCAGGGGTGCGGGAGGGAGGGGGAGGGGGAGGAGGGGGAGCGGGGCTGGGATAGCGGGAGGGACAAATGGGGAAAAGGGGAGAGAAGGCAGTGGCAAGGGTTGAAGGAGTATTGGGGAGAGGACGCATTGAACACACTTGTTAATTTCACGGGAATTATGCGCTCTTTCTCTTTGCCTTCCACTCTCTTCCCTCCCTTCCATCCACCGCCCCTTCACCCCCTCGCGCACCTCTGTATGCCCACTCTCACATGCCCACTCTCACGCGCCCTCATCCCTCCCTCGCCCCGTTCTACCATGCGCGTCCTCCTGCACCCTTTCCCCCTGCCCCCCTGCCCCCTGCTGCCGTGCCCCCTATGGGTCCCCCTGTCCCCCCTCTCCCCTCCCCATCATGCTGGTGCGCGCCTGGCAGTACGGGCTGACGCACATCAGTGCGGGCGATCTGCTGCGCGCGGAGGTGGCAGCGGGCACGGAGGGCGGGCGGCAGGCCAAGGCGCACATGGACGCGGGGCGCCTCGTGCCGGATGACGTGGTCGTCACGGTGGGTGGGGGGTGGGGGAGGGTGGATGTGTGGGTGGGTGCGTGAGTGGTATGCGTGGGGGCCGCGTTGGTGGTGGCGGGTGCTCACCCAGAAGAGCGCCTTGACCCGGCGCAAGCCAGGAATTAGAAATCAAGAAAAAGAAAGAGCGCCTTGAGAAGCCGCTGCATGGGGCTGCTGTTGCCTAGGCGCGGTTTGACCATGTGTGTCACCCTGTGTGTTGTGTTGGTGTGTGCTTGTGTGCCACCTGCGTGTGCATGTATGGGAGCAGATAGTGAAGAACCGCCTAGCACGGGAGGACGCGCAGAGCAGGGGGTGGCTGCTGGACGGCTATCCGCGCAGCCTGTCGCAGGCGCACGCGCTGCTGGCCCTCGACATCTCGCCCGACGTCTTCATCCTCCTCGATGTTAGCACCCTCCCTGCCCTCGCCGTCCCTTCCCCTTCTGACCGCCCTGCCCCTTCTGCTGCCTCTGCTGCTGCCCGTGCTGCTCTCTGCGCACTTTCATCATGCCAGCTGCCTCATCATGCCAGCTGACTCTCCCATGGCCCCCCTCCTTCCATGGTGCCTGCAGCCGAACTGGGCGTTAGAGCGACTGCCACCCGCACCCACGGTGACTGCACCTGCTCGTCCCCCCATCCCCCTCGCCCGCTTCCCGCCTACCTGTGCGCGCTGGTGCCCCATGACACCCCGCTGGCCACGGTGGAGAGGGGTGACCTGCATCCACACCCTCACCTTCTTCGCCCTCTCCTCTTCTCTCTCCACCCCTTCCTCTGCTCTGTTCCCTACTTGCATGTGTCTGTGCGTGCCTGTCTGCGTGCATGCACGGCACGTGCAGGTGCCGCACGAGATCCTGGTGGAGCGCGTGGTGGGGCGGCGCCTGGATCCCGCCACCAACCGCATCTACCACCTCTCCTTCTCGCCGCCCGAATCCGAGGAGATCGCCGCCCGCCTCACCCAGCGCAGCGACGACACCGAGGAGAAGGTGGGGGTGGGGGTGGGGGTGGGGGAGGGGAGAGATGATGACACTGGGGAAAAGGTGGGGGAATAAGGGGGAGATGACACCAGGGAGAAGGTTGTGGGAGGGGGGTATGGTCGGGTGGGGGAGGGGCGTTCTCCTGCCTGTGCTGCTGTGCGCTCCTGTTGCCAGTGCACTTGTGGTCTCACTTGCTCTGCCCACTCCCGACACCCCACTCCTCACTGCCCATTCCCACTCCCACTCCCACCAATCCCCTGCATTTTAGCTTTCCTGAGTCTGCCCGTGACCGTGCCTTCCTCCTTGTCTCCTCACGTGCTGCTGTGTGTGCATTGGGGCGTGCTGGGCGGGCATGGCATGGCATGGCGTGGCGGGGCCAGGTGAAGGCGCGGCTGGAGACACACAACGCCAATGTGGCCAGCGTGCTCGACGTGTACGCCGGCAAGCTCGTGCAGGTCAGACCACATGCACATTGGTGCGGAAAGCAAGTGAGAGTGATGCGAGAGGAGAGGGGAGCTGTAGAGCATGAAATGACTTAGAGTGCAGGGCTTGGGCTGGATGAGAGTGCACGGCATGAAGGCAGCATGGGGAGTGGGATGACACTGGGAAGAGGATTTATGCATGGTGTGGTACTGGGATGGCAACACCCAAGGGATGTATCTTTTAAGCATCACATCCACGCACACACCCTCACCTCACCCTCCAAAATTTACCCCCCTCCAAAATGTATCCCCCTCCACAACCCTTTTTCACCTTTCATCACCCATGCATCAACTTCCCTCGATCTTATCCCTCCATCCATCCTCTGCACCCCGCGCCACCATCAAACCCCCTGCCGTGCGGTGGGGGGAGCAGGTGAACGGGCATCGGGGCAAGGAGGAGGTGTTTGGCGACATTGACTCCATCCTCACCCGCCTGCAACAAGGCCAGCTCTCCTTTGACTAGAATTACCATGCCTTCATGAATACAATGGCAAAAGCCTCCCAGTGTAGATGTGTTATTCTTATTTGCGCAAAATCCCCTTTCTACTGTGCGAACCTACTGCTTTTTAGAAGCTCCAGCAACAACGCCCGCCCAATCCACTAAATACTGAACACACGCGAGATGGTACTGCCTGACGTGGTGGCGTTAGTGCCACGCTGCTGTCCTGCACTGCCTGCCAATCTTGGACAGCCATCAGTTCTAGGGGCAGAGCTGTGGTGCAGTTGTTGGAACAAGACATGGTGCACGACCCCACATTCTTGGGAGTGGGTGGGGCCATCCTTGAGCCATCATTAGCTTGCATCATGCATGCTGGATTGCTGGTGCCAGCCAGCTCTGCCCGTTGCACTGCTCCCCTCCCACCCTCAGCTACTGCATGCACGAGCAAGCACACTTGGAAGCAGGCGGAGCAGGAGGGGTCACTTGGCCTGGGAGGCGAGCCACTGCTGCTTGGTCATGGGGCGCAGGAAGCCAGTGGCCTTCTCCTTGCCGATGCTCGTGAACGCGCCCCCGTAGTCGTGCCCGGGGTACACCCTGCACCACGCCCAGGAGGGAGGGACACGGGCCAGGGCAGCGTGCCGAGGAGCAGCAGGTGGACATGCGGAAGCAACGCTGGGAGGCCGTGCAGCTTGCAGGGCAAAGGAAGACTGGGACTGGAAAGAAAAGATGTTTAAGACTTGGAGACTCGCATCCACCTCACCTTGTGTTGTCAAGCGGCAGCACTGCGCTCACCTGGTGTCGGGCGGCAGCACTGCGCTCACCTGGTGTCGGGCGGCAGCACTGCGCTCACCTGGTGTCGGGTGGTAGCACTGTGCTCACCTGGTGTCGGGCAGCAGCACTGCGCTCACCTGGTGTCGGGTGGTAGAGCAGCGAGCTTCTGCAAGCTGTCGTACATGGCCTCGCGGTTGCAGTCTGGTAGGTCCAGCCGCCCACAGCTGTGACAGGCGGCAGAGTGGACAGGCGGGTTGCACACAGTGTGGGGTGGGCGCTAGGGGAGTGAAGCATGTGGTGGCTTGATGAAGCAGTGATGCGAAACGAAGAGGAGGGACGGTGGTGGCGACAGAAATGTGCTGCGTACGCATTGTGGAAGATGGGGGTTGGGAGAAGAAGCACAGGAACAAGTTGAGATTGAATGAGAGGAAGCAGACATGCACACATGTGGAAGGCAGTGGGTGTGGTGTGAGGAAAGCCCCCAACTTCCATCGCAGCGCCTTGGCCTCACTCTGGCGCCTTGGCCTCACTCTGGCGCCTTGGCCTCACTCTGGCGCTGCCTCGGCCACCACCCCACACGGCATGCATGGCTCACTCACCCGTCGTGCTGTGGAGTGAGGAGGAATGGAGTGGAGAGGAGTGGAATAAAGCTCGTGTGCTATGGGGTTTGGTGATTACAGTGGCCTCGCTGCTGACATGTGCTGCCACCGCTAATAGCAGACACACAGGGCTTCAGACTCACCTTCCAATAAAGAGGGTGTCTCCTGATATTAGAACACCGTCATCATGGCCCGGCGCTCTGCAGGCAGCAAGCAAGCAAGCGAGCAGATGGGCAGCAAGAGGAAGAGCAGGCAGCACGAGCGGGAGGATGATCTTAGCAGGCGACAACGCATGGACTGTGTTTGGCGCATGGAGCATGCATGGTGACACGTCAGCAAGGAGGGGGAGGAGGGGGAAACAGGGGGAGGAGGGGGGAAGAGGGGGAGGAGGGGAGGGGAGGGAGGGGGGAAAAGGGGGAGAGGGGGTGGGGTGAATGAGTTAGGGGACATGTGGGTGGCAGGATGGCAGCACTTGCACGCGGGTGATGCCAACATGTGAGTGGGTCCTTGCGAGGCCATGAGTGATTCCCATAACCCCAGCATGCTGCCTTGCGGGGGTCATGCGCATGCGACATGGCGACAGCATAAGGCTGTCACATGGGCTTGTGCATGTCCGCCCGATAGCCCATGCAAGCATGCATGAGGGGATTGTGGTAAAACATGGGCGCCATTATCACCATGCAGATGGGTGCGATGTGCATCTGCATGTGTAACATGTGTGCATAGGGTGCATGCATGTACGTTCGCTCATTTCTACAGTTCCTGCACATTCATGTGAGCATGCGTGCATCTCGCACCGTTCAATGTGGATGCACTGGCTGCCAGGCGTGTGGCCGGGTGTGTGGATGAAGCGCAACGACACCGCCCCCACCTCTATCGTCGCCCCATCCTGCCCTCGCCAACGCCACCAATTGCCAACCATGAGCACCAATGGAACAAGGCATGAGCCAGAGAAGATACAACAAACAAGGAGGTACAAAAGGATCGAAAAGAAACTACGGCTGCACATACCCCCTGAGAAAAGAGCTTAGCAATGGGTATAATGGTGTTTCTCATTTGTCCAAAGGCTATGCATCCTTCAGTTATGAAAAAAGTCTGGTTTGAAGATGTTAGGCTCGTGAAAATGTGAGGGAGGGATGAGCACAACGTGAAACACACTTGCAACAGAAGTGACGGCACACCTTTTCCTAAAAAGTGGGTGAAAAAAGAGCATGGTGCATGCGAGTATCGGCTAAAATGCATGTTGGCGTCACACCATGCATACCATTCCAACCTGTCATCCCATCTCATGCCCATACCGCCACCATACCACCATCATACCACCACCACCATACCTCCACCAAACCTCTGCCATACCTCCGCCATATCTCCGCCATACCTCCATCATACCTCCAGCATACCTCGTACCTGAACCGTACCTCCAGCATACCTCGTACCTGAACCGTACCTCCACCATACCTGGACCTCCACAATGGAGTCACTGGGAACACCATTCTTGGATCGCAGCAGCGCCGCATCGTGCTTGTTGGCATACACCTGTGTGGGGAGTCAGCGGGACAGGGGTAGGGGTTCAGACCGTCGGGGGGTGAGGTGAAGAGGTGGGCAGAGATGCGAGACAGATGACATCCATGACAACTAGTCAACCTCTGTGACTATCTGGTCACCTGGTTAGGTGGCACACCTTCTGAAGCACGGCGATACACGGACCCCCACACGCACACATGCCCCCTGGCATGGCAGGGAACCTTGAGCCTCCACTGCCATGGCAGGGAACCTTGAGCCTCCACTGCCATGGCAGGGAACCTTGAGCCTCCACTGCCATGGCAGGGAACCTTGAGCCTCCACTGCCATGGCAGGGAACCTTGAGCCTCCACTGCCATGGCAGGGAACCTTGAGCCTCCACTGCCATGGCAGGGAACCTTGAGCCTCCACTGCCATGGCAGGGAACCTTGAGCCTCCACTGCCATGGCAGGGAACCTTGAGCCTCCACTGCCATGGCAGGGAACCTTGAGCCTCCACTGCCATGGCAGGGAACCTTGAGCCTCCACTGCCATGGCAGGGAACCTTGAGCCTCCACTGCCATGGCAGGGAACCTTGAGCCTCCACTGCCATGGCAGGGAACCTTGAGCCTCCACTGCCATGGCAGGGAACCTTGAGCCTCCACTGCCATGGCAGGGAACCTTGAGCCTCCACTGCCATGGCAGGGAACCTTGAGCCTCCACTGCCATGGCAGGGAACCTTGAGCCTCCACTGCCATGGCAGGGAACCTTGAGCCTCCACTGCCATGGCAGGGAACCTTGAGCCTCCACTGCGTGAGTGCCAAGCCCCTCAGTGCAGACACCATCGCACCTTGAGGCCGTGCGCAGCAGCGAGCTCCCTGATCCCCGGCACCTTGATGCCCAGCGCGTCAAACGGGGGCGGCGGCATGCCGCCCGTGTGGTCAAAGTGGTAGTGCGTCACCACCGCGCCCACCTGGAGAGGTGGGGGTGGAGGGTGTAGGGCAAGGCGCAAAGGATCAGAACAAGCGAGAGATGCTTTTGTGTTGTGATGGAGGCAACGGGGGCGAGTGCAGAGGGAGATGAGGCAGTTTGCAGACAAAAGGGCGACGGGACAGCAAAAGGGTTAGAGCACTGACCAGCTTCACTCTCTCCGCCTCTGCGAATCGCAGAATGCCCTGCCAGGCCACGCGAGGCGAGCAGGGGCCCCACACGGCAGGGCGGTCGGATGGAAGACGTGCCGCCATGCAACGGCACACAGGGAGACAGTGGGGCGGGTAAGGGGATGGGGAATGAGCCGTGCACGGATGGGGAGGAAGGGGGTTGTGACGACTTCACACGTGCAGGAACATTGGGCAGCATGGCATAGCGTGCAGCATAAGATAGTGAACGAGAGAGGGTATATAAAGTGCACAGGCGACCATCAGAAGTAAGCATGGGAAGTAGTTACATGGTCATACGGACACACCACACGCCTCTGCACAGCACTGATTGGAGCAGCAGAGCAGCAGAGCAAAAGAGCAGCAGAGCGGCTCACCTCGACGTCCCAGGCACCGTCCACGACAACAGCCTCTCGGGAGTGCGCATCGCCGACGAGGTAGATGAAGTTGCGCATCTGCTGTGCACTGCGGTATATCTGCACGCATGCATGGGGGGGAGATGGGCCGATGGGGGATGGAGACAAGGGATGACACGGGACGTTGATGGATGACAAGGGACAGGTGTGCCTGCATGTATGCGCATGCGTGCATGCCCTTCCGGAAGTCAGAAGGGAGGTGGAGCATGCATGTCCGATGGTGTGTTTGTGGACACATACAAATGACAGCGGCAAGGAGGGCGCACCTGGGCAGGGAGGGAGGGCGCACCTGGGCAGGGAGGGAGGGCGCACCTGGGCAGGGAGGGAGGGCGCACCTGGGCAGGGAGGGAGGGCGCACCTGGGCAGGGAGGGAGGGCGCACCTGGGCAGGGAGGGAGGGCGCACCTGGGCAGGGAGGGAGGGCGCACCTGGGCAGGGAGGGAGGGCGCACCTGGGCAGGGAGGGAGGGCGCACCTGGGACTCGATGACGTTGCGGCCTCTGCCCACACAGAACTCCCGCCCTGCGAACATCTGCCATGGGGGGGGGGGGGGGCGAGCAGGAACAAGCAATAATGATGTTCAT